TTAGCTTTTCCACATGCAGTACCCCTCCCAGTCACAGAAATCATGGTAACCCTAACCCAACCTCTCCTTTTACAGCGGCTGCCACAAGACACCCCCAGCCACTTTGTCGCCAATGTGCGTCGTAATCGCTCTACCCAGGGACAATATCGCTGTCCTTAAACGCAGACTCGTCTGGCAGATCTGCTGTAGGGAGTCAGAAAAGAGAAGCATGTCAACATATCCTCAGCTCAAAGGAAAAAGTCAGCTGGTGACTGAATTTTTAGGCACGCTGGTGTTGATTTCACTGTCACAGTGCACCAAGGACACCTCAGGTCCTTGCGTGCTAAAGCTCTGAACAGGTTTCGAGAGATATTTCTGCTTCTTACCTCCAAAACTAAGTACTCCAATGTTACATATTTAGCTGATACAATGGGGAAAAAAACCCAGTGCTCCACACAACTCTAACTGTAGAGAGGTGAGGTACAGCCTTGCTGGAGCTGTTCTAGGCTGAGGTGCCGATACTGCTGACAAGGCTAAGTAGAACTTTAGACCTCAGCATCTTCAATCTCAAAACAAAAGAAAGCCTTGAGTAGCCACTATCATTAAGGAGTAGGAAGCAAAACTAAACATTAAGTCCAGAGCTGAATTCTAAGTGCAATACAGTAAAAAGAGGAAAAACCCCACAAATCTGACCTTCATTCAGAACCTAACTGGCAGGTCAAGAGATACTACAAAAAATCTCCAACAACCCCCGAAGTTGCAGATTCTCACCTTCATGCAGGTACTGAAGCCGCTGGAAACGAAGGGGGATCCCAGTCAACAGTTCTAAATGGGACTTGAGTTTCTTCAGAGTCAGGTCGTCTTGGCACTCAGGCAGCAAGAAGATCTCATCGGTTTCAGCCAGACAGAGCTTAAACACTAAACGTCTGTGGGGGACCAGAAAGTCTTGAGAGTTGCTTCTTAGAAAAAGCCTGGATACTCTCTAAGGACAGGGGTATAGATCTGGCAGTAATTCCTCCCTGCCTAGACATTCCCGTTGTATCAAAGCCCCTCAGGGACAGGTGCCCCCGCGTATCTCAGCACGTTACGGTACCCAAGCAGCACAACCTTACGTCACAGAACAGTCCCCGGGTGCGATGTAACAGCCCAACTCACCAGAGAACACCACAGACAGGAATGCACCCGAGAATTACGGAAACATTTCTGTTCCAGCCCATCTTTTGGCTTTCACTAGGACAACAAACTTACTTGGAAGACAAGCAGTAGAGGATCAAAGTAGGGTAAATACCCAAAGTTGCTGTATTCTATGTTCCCATTTTCTTTGCTGATGTCTAGATCTCAAATTAAACGTTTAGCCCAACATGCAATAACAGAAACATATGGCTGTTAATTTGTGTTTCCAGTTTACTGCATAGGGGTCTTGCAACCAAACTCAGTGGGTTGGGTTGGCTTTACCAAGGGTGGGGAAACTGTTTTCACTCCTCACTTTTGCATCAGTTAAAATCCTGCTAAGAAGAGAGATCAGATAATCCTTTTGCAGCAGTTGGCAGAAGTTCTAGAGCTCAGGATGGAGCAGCCAGTGAGTGTCCAAAAGGGTGACCGCAGCAGCAGAAGGCACAGAAGACTTCTGAAATTAGAAGCAAAACCAACCAGCCAGGCGTTGATTATTCATTCCTCATCCTCCAACTCCCCAAGGCTGAACAACTACACGGAGCTCATCAATACCGAATGTCTGAGAGCAACACCACGCCGAGAAAACCAGCCCGGAACATCCTTCCAGGCTGATGTTCGGCAAGGCAAGGATTTAAGATAAAGATGTGAACAGTCTCACCCAGTACACACGAGTTCACCTCCTCCTTTAAAATACATCTCGTTATAGTGTTTCCATTTTGAAAGAATTTTAGTTTCAAAGTACTTTTGGCAGGCTCACTTCAAGGAAAAAGCACAGGAAGAGCTACTTCACGTCTCTGGAGATCTAATGGATCTTTTACTGCAGAGCACGATGAATTCCACACTCAGCCCGGGTTTCACAGATGACAGTGTTTACACTGGGAAGTGTTTCCTTCATCAAAAGGACACACCCCCCACCTATGACAAAACACAGTTACCACAAGTAGGTTTATAAAACAGTCACCGGATTTATTGAGATAAATACAAATAGAAAGTTACATAGAATCTCTATTCTGACAAACGAATGACACTTCCAGAGTGTCCCCACTTAATTGGGTTCTCAACAACACTGTGCACAGACACTGCCGCCCCTCGGGCAGCACCTGACCGATGCCACGTGTGTGTCCCACGCGGCACCAGGGAGCCTCAACGCTCGGCAACACCACCAACACACTTTGGATTACAAATGCTGGATAATTTCCTACAGCATCCAAGCAATATTGCACCCACTAATGTCATTTTCATGTTCCTTAGCTAGAAATGTTTAAAAGTGATTCTCCCTGCTGTTGCGGATCAACTACCTAACTTTGCTCCATCTGGCTTTTAAAATACGTATTTTGCATAATTTAAACAGCCCAGAGAATTGTATGTGAACACACTGCTTGACTCCTCATTGCACACATCTGTCTGTACGAGATGTAAAGTGCGGTCCTCAGTCACGCTGAAATCACTTCTAGTTTCAAACTAAAGCAAAAGAGATGGTAAATCTGATGAATGAGACCTGCACATTGCCAAAAAAACCAAAAACCAAACCACCCCAAAACTATGATGTCCCTCATTAGCGCATGCAACCACAGAGTTTTAAACAAAAGTTTGGGGTTTTTTTTTTTAAAACACCCTACTGAAATCATATCGTTTAAACCAGACATGATTTTTGGAGCCAGAGGTATGAAAATATGGTTGAAAGCAAAGAATGTTTTTTAGCCTTTTGGTGAACTTTTATAGCTGCTTACACTTATTCTAATTAAAACTTGTAGTGAACGCGAACCAAACACACTAACACATCCAGGAGCGTGTGTTTTCCAGTGGATTATTGCAGTTAAAGGTAACCACTTAAGATTACCTGACAAACAGAAACCTGGCTTGGGGTTAACTTTCAAAGTATTTAATTTATATACAGTCACATTTCAAACATACTTACATATAAACACACTTAAAAAAATTTGTTCAGTGCTGAGAAATTTAATGAACTGATAATAAAAATCAGAAGTAAAACCTTGTCAGAAAGGCCTTAGAAAATTTGAACTGTTAGAAAATACCAGTATAATGCCAGCATTAGAAAAAGATATTAGAAATAGAAAAAAAAATAAATTTGAGGCAACTTTTCATTAAGAAACTGTAATCATAAAAAGTCTGTACTGAAGAAGCATTTGTTTTAAATTATAAAAAAAAAAAACCTGTAAAAAAATTAAATGTAGTATGTTGCAGGAATTTAGAGCTTAAACTGTTTGCTCTAATCGCAGTGATAGCAGTGGTGTATTTCTGCCTGCAACTTCCAAAAAGCATGTTGTGATCTCAAGAAAACAATTTGCTACAAATACTGTACATATTATGATACAAGACAGTTAAACTTATACAAAACTGAGCCCTCCAAAAATAAAGAACGCAGCAGAGGAATCTACTCGCTGTGTTGCAGACAAGCCAGACTTAAAAAAAAAAAAAAAAAGTGAATTTGGTAAAAAGCTTCACCCACGTGAAATACTTACGAGTGTAACAGTGAGATAAGGGGAAATATTTACATGGGTCTGGCTCTGATAAAGTACGGTGTTCACAGAGAGAAAGTAACTGTTATTACATTAAACCATTTCTTTAGCATTTAAGCATTAGTCTTTAAACAGGACAAAGTTCCAAACCAAAATCTAAAAAAGACTTTTTTTTCCCCCCGGTTCCCTATTATCTGCAGATTTGGGACACAACAGAAGACAGGATCCACCAAAATTTTTAAACTGCGCAGAAGCCATCCAATTGTATTAACAGAACTTTCTTCTATCAAGCTATTTTTTCTATCTTCCAAAAGACCTGTTTAAATCATTCCGCTTAAGAATCTTCGTAACCTTTCTTTGTTGGGTGTCCCAAACCTTCGCAGCACCACCTCTCCTCCGTTTATTGGTTTTGTGGGGTATTTCAGAATTTAGAGGTCCTTTGTTTCTTAGGCAAAAAGTAGCAGGCTGTTGGAGATTTGAACACGGGCCCAATTAAATTATGTTTTTGAAATGATGGCTGCAAACTGAACAATAAATTTAAATCTCTCAAATTCTGTAATACCCTTGTACAAATAAAGCACATGTTGCAGTGAACGCTGTTAGGGCAGAATGAGTCATTTTAGGGTTGGGAAATTTACAGTCCACCTCCCGCTGGGAGAGCCAGCGGGAACGAGGGCAGACACATTAACACCTGTAAGGGGATATACCTCAGAAATAACTAATAGAAAAGTCACAATATACCAAGAATCTCAAGCTCTCTGTGCTTTGAAAAATATCACATTATCATATTAGGTAAAAAATGAACCATGCTTTAATTCTAGCAGAGTAACTACTTTATAAAATGAAATTGGTTTTGAGCTTTTTTCCACCCATACAGAATTAAGTTCATCATTTTTTGTTAAAACTATTGACATATATACATTTTTTTCAGTTAAAATGCAATACTTGAAATAATACAAAAACTATAATAAAGTGAGGAAAAAATACCTTCATGTAAGTTTGCCAGAAACCATTTTAAACATATAGCAGACTGCTCTACTACTGGAAATGTCTTGTTAAACAATGAAATGTGGATTCTAATTACACTGAAACACTCAGCGCGATGTAAGACTTTACACAAGATACCACAGGACAGATCGAAGTTATCACCCACATTTAAAAATAAAAAACCCCTCAGAATTACTCATGTGTATCAGACAAACACCCAGCTGCAGATGAAATGTGAAATGAAGACCGTAATATGTCCGAATAGACCCTTTCCAACACAAGTAGGTAACAAAAGCCTGATTTGTCCACATTATTCGTACTGACCACAAACATAACGTGAAGAACCATTCCGGCGTTCGCTCTACACCGCAGAAGAACACATTAGCTTTGTTTTTCAGCAGTAGTACTGTCCATGTTACCCTGCTTTAGTTTTATGGTGGCAAAGAAGGACACATCTTGATCTCTGTCAGACTGCAGGGCAAGAATGGTCTCTTCCGCAGCTTCTAGATGAGGATTGCCCACACTTTTAAAGTAAGCTAGAAAAAGAGGAGAAAAACAATTTCCATCACAGCCAAAACAATAAACCTTAGGGTGTAAGGAGCACAGAAATATAGAGGATGCGACAGGAGTTGAAGGAAACTGGCAGAGAAAGAGAAACACGCTGCTTCTTACTCATTTTATTAGGCATATCAGTATTTCTAAGAGAAACGCTTTTTGCTAAGACCTAGATAGAAACACGCACCCGCAGCCTTAAGGGATGGTGGCAGATATCCCAAGAGAGAAAAGGCACATTCCTAAACCCTGCTTTCCCAGCTCTGAGCTTGAACGCAATATCCCAGATTACAATATCTAGCTCTGCAGCAGAAACAGAACCCAGCAGCTTCTGCCAGCTGAGCCAGCTGTGAACAACTGCCGTGGCAGAGGGGAGGCAGCACTGGGGAGAGAAGCTTTTTGGGAAGGAAAAGGCTGACCATACCTTTCTCCAGCAACGTCTGTCTTAGAGCCTTAGCGAGTAGAACCCTGACGTTTGGCACAGGATCTGAAGCAAGACTTAACAGACTGGGGAGTAAGTGTTCAACAAACTGGTCGACGGGCATACATTCCTCTTCTACTACAGCCTACGGGATCAACACAGAACATGAGAAAGCAAGGTTCACGTTAAAAAAAAAAAAAGAAGCAAGGTTTATGTTAAAAATACACTATTTGCCATTCCTTTCCATCTTATCCTTAATTTGCCCAGTCTATTAAAAGTCTGCACTGATAAAATAAATAAAAAATTATAGAGACTGTTATGAAAACATGTCTCACCATTCCAAAGTTCACCTGAAGATGACCCAACAGGAGCAGGCAACTTTCAACTATATTTTAGAAATAGTGCTCTCTTGCCTGTCACCCCCCTTTTACCTTTCAATATTTTACCCTGGCTCCTCTTTGCTACTGGAGTTAAGCACTTGTAGTTAGGAGGGGTGTAGGTTAAGTAGAGGAAAAGAGAGAAACAGTTCCTGGCATCTGGCACCTATTGGTAGTTTGAAGAACTCTTGTGAACCTTTACTCTCCCACGTCCAAGTATTACAAAATACATCCCTGTTTAGGACTTAATTCTTGACCTCGTTACTGTGACATCGGAGAGCACAAGGCCCAGCTCTTGCACTTGGAGGCACAGACCGAAACAAGGGGCACAGCTTGACAACCACACAGCCACAAGCTACAACTGAGACCAGGCCAGCTCTGCCACCGTCTTTGGTCAACCAGCTGTGCCCACAGTGCTGAAAGGGCCCAAATTAACCACACACAGAAACACAGAGAGAGAACATTCCAACCTGGCAAATGAAGGCAAAAGCTTGTCTTCCAACCCACTTGGAGCAGTGACGAAACCGCACGACAAGTTCATTAATGAAATTTAATCCCAGTGCATTTGCATTGTTTGCATAGAACTTCTGTAGTATTGCTACAACCTGTGAAAGTTAAAAGAGCATAATTTCATTTAAACGCTACAAAGGGACACCAAAACCTGTATTCAGTGTAATCAGCCATGCTTGCAGGATCTACTACATTACTGTGCTTGTCTGGAGAACAGGAAGTTCAAGGTTTTCTAAAAGCTGTTTGTTCAGGTGCAAAAAAAACCAATCACAAAACAAAACAAAAAAAACACCACTAAGGGAAATTAAAACAACTATTAAAATAATGCCCCTTTCTGTGGCACCATGAAGAAAGAGATTGAAGGAATCCTTTTAGTCATTCAGGACATCTGTGGGATCACGGCATTATCATCAAGTTCCTAACAAATCAGTTTGAGTAAAAACTATTGATTTCCCTCCCTGACCTGGGGGAAGGTCGACCAAACCTATAACCTGTTCATCCAGTTGTAAAATATATTTATCACTCACAAAAAAACATCAGATAAAGACGTTAGTATCTGTGGAAACCTGACAATTCAAAATATTTTATAACAGTTTTCATTTCACTTTTTTCCATACTGTTTGCCATGTTTATCAAAACACGTCTGTATTCACCCCACTTGTCTGAATGAAAACAGTGCTTTCAGGTAGCCCTCTCAAGGATCACCTTCCTCCTTCTGCCAGCAAGCGAATTAAATCCCCTACCAGTTTGAAGGAGATCCACCGAACTTCTGAAACTTTATCGGAGCAGAGAGTTAGTGCAATATGTCTCAGGTAGTCATAGACGTCGTTGGGATTGTAGAGTTCCAGTATCAGGATCAGCTGCCTGGAACACAAAAACGATTACTGACTCCAGCAAGCGCAACACTAACCTGCTCTGACTACACCAGCGGTTAAAAATAGAGGAGGATCACCTGGAGCCTTGAAAATACCACAGTTTTTTAGAAAATATTTGAATAGTTTGTTCTTCCCTTTAATACATGCGTGCACCTTTTTATAAAGGTACATTTTAACTCATCAAGGAGTCAAGAGAAACTTTTATTCAGACTAGAAGTATTAATCAAAATTATCCCAAATAATAACAAAAGCTACAGGGGATTTTTGCAACTTGAGACCAATACCCAGTACATTCTTGGAGAAGTAAAAATAAAAGGTTTACTTCGGTGGAGAAATCTACATTTCAGAACGTGATTTCTCTCCTGCAGCTGCACAGAACTCCCTCAAGCCAGGCACAAACTGACCACAAGGCGAGAGCTCTCCACTAGATGTCAGGGAACTGCTGCTCTCGCACCGAGGGAGAGGGAGTTGGTTGTACTAAACTACACGGGAAGAGCAAATCCTCCACAGCCCAACCAAAGCGAGGAGATAAACACCAAGGTCAGGCTTTTAGCTGCAAGCTACACCTACAAACATTATTTGTTAAAAATGACACATGGATTCCAATTACAAATATCAACAGGGCTTGTAGAAAAAGAAGTATGGGATGTTACTCCACCTCTGTTATACCCCAGTCATATGGAAATACTAACTGAATAACCCAATCCTTTAATAACTGCTTGGGTTTTTTATACACATCCAAAAATTTACTTTGTACACACATTTCACTGATTTTTACAAAGCAGCCTAGAAATTAATAAGAACTGAAACCTCCCTGAATAGTATCTATCACTGTCGTATTTCCTACGTTGCAAGAAAGTCACGATCTCCATTTTAGTGCAATTACAGACATTTAAGCTCCAGCCATACTTGACCACAACACAACTTGTCAAAAAAGTAATCCCAACAAAAAAAACCCACAAACCCCCTAACTGCCAGTGGCTTTTAAATCCAATTCCTTAATAATGAATGGCTGCAATCTTCTGGCTTCTGCTTAGGGTGTGCTAACTTCTGAATGTAATTAGCTATTTCCAAGTTAATCGTATAGATTAAAAGGTCAAAAGTTTACAAAATTACATACTCTGCCAACTCATAACGAAACCTCCAGTTCCTGCTGTTATCGGTCACCACAAATTCTTGAAGTTGGTAAAGATACTCTCGCCTCTTGTCTGCATGAAGTAACTAAAAGGAGAAACATTACTAGCATAAAACCAATAAAATTCAATACTTGCGTTCTCTATTCACATCTACATGCATTTTCCTATTTGACAGGAAGTGATCGTCCACCCAATGCCTATGAAAAATTACACGCTGCCAGCCAAGGGCCTGGACACAGCAAGACCAACATCCCAAAATACACGTTGTCACCACTGCTGCAAAGACACCTGTCAAAGCACCATCTGAGCATAAGACTAAGCAACAAAAAACTAAGGACTTGTGTTTAGTGTGCAGCAATCTATCAGTAGCTGCTCTCTGCTCTCCTCTCTCCTAGCCCCAAACACAAACTGATCACGGACCAACTTCGCGGCTGGACTGCGCAAAACGTCAAGTCCTTTACAACAGCTAGGAGCATTTGGGACCACACGGGTTTCCGGTTTTGATTTTTTTGGGGGATACAAGACAGAAGAGAAGTGAGGGACCTTAAATGGCAGCATTGCACAAAACTAAACATGTAATTAGCTATTAATACCTGCACATCTCATTAGAAAACTCTCCTAATATAAGAGTTAGAAAGAAAATTTATTTTGGGGAAATCAGATGACACTTTCCTACCTTCAGAAAGTCATAGAGATGTTTAAGGACACCAATGCGCACTTCATCCAGGTCTTTCAAGAATCCATTGAAAATGGGCACCAGATCAGCAGCTGTTAGCTGATCCCCCAGGATAACTGCTAGCTCATGGATGGAGAAAGCTAGTGTCCGACGTACCTTCCACTGCAAACAGTTTATGAAGTGAACTAGGTTAGACACCAGAACTCAAAGGAGCTTTTCAACTACACCTGTGTGAGGCTTGAGAGCAGAAGAAACAGGGCTAGTTACAAATCAGCAGAAAACGTTGATTTATGAAGTCCGATTTAAATCTTGAATTTTATGTTTTTAGTGCACATTTAATCCCTTATAAGGAAGCACACGATGCTGTAACTTCAGTGCAAACCGAACAAAAAGCCACTCTGATTTATCATTAACGTTTTATTTATTTATTACCTGTACATCAGAGGCCAACGTCTCATACGTGTCTTTCAGGCAGTGCCAGTTCTGCCTGCCCAGCGTCAAGGCCACCCCAGGAAGGCTATAGGCACAGTGCTTGGCTATTTCGGTATCGACAGTCTGGGCTCGAGCTGGGTCAGTCATCGACAAGTACTGGTCTAATAAAGGCTGAGGTATGATGTCCTACAGATAGAGACAGTACATCAGCGACACGCAATTGCCTTTATTTCAAGATTAAGAAGAAAGCACACCTGCAGTGCTACAGTACTCTCTTGCTACTGTCCATCTGGCAGCTGAACAAAAGCAGTGGCAGGATACATTTTGTGAAGCTGGCCCTCGAATGGTGTAAGTGACCCCTAGAGTGTTTGTCCTCTCACGGGGATAGAGCAACCACGACAAACAGCAGTTACTACTTCATCAACACGTTGCACCCAGCTGAACTGGAAATTCCTTCTTCGCTGAAGACAAGCAGGAGGTGCAGTGACAAAACAGTATCAGCAGTGCCCACCTTGGTTGCACAGATTGCTTCTAAGGCACCAAAAAGGCAACAGAACTTTTCCAGCTTTCTGAGTTAAAATAGGGCTCTCCTCAAACGCCAGAGCATTCCTTCACATTCTGCAAGTGACCAATTACAAAAGCTATCACTGTATTGAGGGTAAGGTGAACTGTATCCAGCATTCCACTAAAGCCATCAGATCCCATTTTTAATCACCTGTAATTTTGACTTATCTTCAAATGGTGGGTTATCTTCTTGCTGTTTCTTTAAAAATACATTGGTTCCTCCGTGTTGTTCCTGTGAGTCCTGTAAAAGAGCACACGAGCTAGTGAAATGAACTAGAGCTACTGCTGTTGGGGGTATTTCATTCAAAGCATCACACCACAGAAAGCGCTGCTCAGATACAGAACGGCCTTTGACAGACAAAGACTTGTACAGGCAAAGCCTCACTCCGTGTGTGGATAAAAACACCAAGATCCAGAGCTGCTGCACATTAGGACAAGCACCTGGCAGCAATAAGGGGAACAGCAGTGACACTTCTAAAAAAGCAATCTAATAAACACAATATTCATAAACATTTGGATGGTTACTATTACTATAAATAGTGTTTCTTCTTGGCATGAATTTCAGTTATATTTAATAAGATAGTTTAGCAGTTTCTTTAAGTCAATCAATACTACAACAAAAGCTTTACTTATTTTAGAACATACTGCTGGGAAGTCTCAAGTCTACCAAATTACAAAGCATACACTTCTCCCCAAATACCAAGAAAAACTTGAAAATAATTAAAATGTTCAAAAGACATAAAAGATCAAAACCATAAAAAGTTTGGAAGTTCACAAGATATTTTACATTTTTGTTTGTACAGGTTTTAAGGTCATTTTTTTTGTTCATAGATAAGGAGAGCTTTTCTTCATATTTCACAATTAGCTCCAGCAACATTAAATATTGTGCACACAATTCTTTTTCCTTCTGCCTGCACATTATAATCAAGAATTATACCCAGAAACTGTGCATGTGTCACCACCTGATTCAGCCTCCTGTCTGAGAATAAAAGACTGATTTTAGATGCATGACAGCAAGAGGTGAGAAACTGTACTTGATATATTTCATCCAAAAAAAAAAACAACCCAACCCAAACAAGACTACTGAAAAATTTTAACTATCGGGTAATTGGTGTGCCCACAGAAATAATAGCCCTCAACAGCTTTTCTTTTTTGATTAAAATAAATAGCATATGGTAGTTATGGTGCAGGAACATCCAGACTTGAGAAGGGAGGCAGTTATGTCAAGGACTACAGGAACACCCCCAGTACTTGAGCTGGCAGGAACTCCTTCCAGACACAGAGCACGACGCACACGTACCGTGCTCTTCAGTTCGCTGGTGGCAGACTGCTCACTGACATCATCCTGGGAGGCAGGGCATGAAAGACCATCTTCCTCCACCTGGCTGCAGGTGGCATCTGGAACAGCTGTTTCAGCTGAAATAGTTTTGTTCTGAAGTTTGCCACTGCCTTCTTCCATTTGCTTGGTCTCATAGTCACCAACAGAATCAAACTGAGCAGCTCGGAGAGCAGCAGACAACACCTGAACCTGAGCTGTACAGAACAAAAGACAACTATTCAGTCTCCCTTCTACATTTAAAAGCATTAAATTTGTAACTAGTTAACCTGACAAGATAAAAAGGAGCCCCAGAGCTTTTTTTTTTGAGCTGCACAAAAATGGTGTATTAGCAAACCTTAGCTCTTAGAAAAAGGCTCGTTACTCTCTCACAAAACCACCACAAACTAAGAGCAATGATTTGGGTGCACTAGTATTTTCCACAGAAGCACTCTACCTATTTCTACTACTGAAAGATATTTCTAATAGTCCCATCAGTGCTTTAAATTTTAATATTTTTATCTCTTAAAGCTTTCCCTTTCTTTCTGATTCTTTGCCTCACACGTAAAGAATTTTTTATTTTCCTTTCCAAACGTCAATGGGGAGCCACCTAAATGTGCCACACAGCCACGGTTACTACAGTAAGGAATGCAAATGATGCTGCAGTTCCTGCAGATCTGAATTTGCGTGCAGAGAAATAATGAATAAACAGACAAGGGAAAATTGCCATTTCACTGGAATATTTGAGACTTAGTGGAACAAGAAACTGAGCTGATAATGGACAACAGACTTGTCAGGAGGGATCTGGCCCAGGAAACACACACACACCCCACTAGCAGGCTCTCAGCACTTCAGTGTGTTCATCAACAGCCTTGGACAGGGAGCTCAAGGAAAGACAAGACTGGAAATTACGGAGACTCTCACTCAACCATATAGATGAACTCACCCGATAACATGCAGCTCTGTCCCTAAAACCACATACGTAGTTACAGTACTTTAAACTAAAGACAGTTTTGACAAATGTCAGCAAGCTCTTTTCCCTTTTATAGTTAGGTGGATTTATTTCTCTAGAGGAAAGGAGCTAGGAACACTTCCCCAATTGTTCTACAAGTAAGGTCTTGTGAAAAAGGCTGTGGAGTAACTTTCTACTACAATTTACTACTCAAAGAAGTCTCATCACCTTACGAACATCAAGCCAATTGAAATGTAGTCAAGAGTTTTGTAAAGGCAAGGAGAAAACCTGCTCAGAGAGACATGATTTCACTGTTACAGTCTCACCTTGAACATCTGGATCATCCATGTGCTCCTGTAAGCTTTCTAGAACTTTTTTTATTTCGCTACTAGCAACACAGTTATTACGTGGCACAGAGCAGCTATCTTTGTGCTTTTCAGTCTTGAACTGAAGTAACTCCAGATCCTGACTTATATCAGGCAGAGGAGGGCGCCAGTATAGAAAAGTATTAAATACATCCTCAGCAGACTGTAGCCTTGAGTTCATTCCAGGAAAACCACTGTCCTTAGTGACTTCAGTGACACCAGCAGCAACTTTGTCACCCTGAGACAACTGAGACACATGTTCTCCAGGATTAGTGCAACAATCTGAACTTTCCTCCCGCGTATCTTTAGAAGTCTCCTCGGTCAATGATTCTGTCTTGATTTCCACTGGTTGTTCTGAACTGGTAACAGACACACACAGTTATCCAAATAAAATCTGAAGTACTTGTACCAGTACTTTGCTGTAAAATACTCCATTAAAGACAGCATGAATCAGCAAAGCTTATTTTCTCCACAGAAAGACAGCATCTATGCTACCACTACGCTTTACTTCACCGGTTTTCCCTTCACCCTCCTGTTAAGCCAAAGTGAATTTTTCAATAACATGGCTACACTCCGACACACGTGACCTCACTTTTCATACCTTTTCTGCAACTATGTTCTTGAGTTGAGATTTTTAGCCCCAAAGAGCAATTAAAAGAATTATCTTCCTTCTTCTCCCTTCCCCACTACACCACATCTTTCCCATGATTTTACCTGGATGACACAGCATTTGCACTGGAGGACATTAAAGTTACACTGTTGCTTGGCTGACAGGAACTGCTATTTACATCTTGTGCTGATGGCCGGATACTCAGCGTCCCATCTTCTCGAATGTAAAGACCAGCACTTGAAGGGTTTGCAAAGGTTGAAATAAATGGGCCAAGAGACTGAAACGCAGCCTGACGAACCTACAATAGCATCAAGGCAACGGTCAAGATTCATGCAACACCCACAGAATTAATGCTGAAAAATAAAAATTCTGTTGCCTCCTTTTAGTAAGAACCAATTCTTGACAGCAGGTTCATTTCATAAAATCATAGAAGAGTTTCAGCCAGAACAGACCTTTAAGATCATCAAGTCCGACCATTAACCTCGCACTGCCAAGCTCACTGCTAACCCACACCCCTGAGCACTCACCCACGCATCTCAAACACCTCCAGAGACGGCGACTCAACCACTTCTCTGGGCAGGGCTTAACAACCCTTTCAGTGAACAAGCTTTTCCTAATATCCACCTTAAAACTCCTCAGCACAACTTGACGCCATTTCCTCTTGTCCACTTGCTACGTGAGAGAAGGGATGGACAATATCAAATATAACCAATTTCCAACTATAAAGTAAGTGACGCCTAAGCAAGGGGTGTTAGAATATTAAGTGTGGAAATCTTTTAAGCTATAAATCTGAAAGACATAGCTGTCTACTTTAACGTCTTTAACACACGCAACCTTTTCTCAGGAGTGTTTGCATTTATAAAAACAGAGATAGAAAATCTAAGTAGTAAGAGAGAGGAAAAATAAGGTACCATCTTATTAGAGGAGGTTAGATTTTAGTAGATTAGACTCTAATCCCAGCAAAGTTAAAGAACTTTTAGAGCACACTTCTGACTTTCCAATTATTTGTGTACGATCTGCCTGAGAAGATGCAACAAATTACAGAGCGAGTTACCTACCCATCTGCAAGTGTCACTAATAAGACTGATAAACAGCGGGGACAGTTTGCTCCTGCGAACTTCTGGGGACGTGGTGTAAGACACAGCCATGAAGCATTCAGCACACGCTTTTCTCATTCCCCAAACACTATCAGAACAGAGTTCAAAGAACTTGGGAATCTGCCAAAGACAAGCAAATCCAAAACTAATTAAAGACTAAACAAAGACTGCAGCAACTTATTATCAAGGTATCTGGAAACTGCAAACAGTAACTTGAGAGAATAGAATGAGTGAAGAATAGAAGAAACGAACAGGTTAAAAACATACTAATTGAAGAAATCAGAAAAACAACCTGTCTGCCATCGACTTAATTAAGATTTTACGTATAATGATACGCATTAGGAAAAAAAAGTAGTAAGAACTCTTAATGGCCTATTTATCCTGAAATCGTAACTTGACTGATCTAGTTCATGGAAAAAGAGATAGTAATTCTGATGTGTGTGTGTGTGTCTATGTACGCATGTGTGTATTTGCGGTAGATTACATGCTCTAAAATATTTTGCAAAACAAGAACTTTTCATTTCTATTCACTGTGGTTTTGCTATGTAATCGCAACCAAAGCCTTAGCCAAATCAATTAAAAATGCATGCACACCGATTAATTTACAGAGAAGACAATAAATCAAATCATTATTAAACCTCCTGAACTGAGAAATACAAGTCTTGTGAACGGATTTTCATTTTTACGTACCAGCAGTCTTTCTGTGGCTTCTTGCCCAACTGCATTACAAATGTCACCAAAATTAGCTGCACAAATCTAAGAAATAAAAAAGCACCATGAATAACATTCTGGCTCTTTCAAGTGCATTAGTTTTACTGTCAGCTTCACCATGCATTATTTACCCCAGGCAACAACTGCACATGTTCAACTATTCAAATTTCAGCCATGTAACTGCATCCTGTAACATTAACTCACGCCAAACAAAGACTCATTAAAGCAAGCTTCCATAGGCCACATGCCTCCGAAATCCATAGCAATACAGGTTTCTGCACGGAGAGCATCATTTATCCCTGTAATCATTCAAGGGGACTAATAACTCTGCTTGAAGGTTTAAATGCCTTTGAACAGCAGCTGTCGAAAGTGAAGCACACTAAAATCCGACACGAGGGCCAGGACTTAGGGCTACTGACAGAACTGTCTCTGCTATGGCTGAGACTGCCTCAAGCAAGGTTTAATCAAGCTCTCAGGTTAGTGCCACCCACAATACACCAGAGATGCTATAATTAAGGCAAAGGGGACATTCCCTCATGCTCAGAATGTATGTTGCCAAAAGCTGAAGAGGACCACGTTAATATATTGATGTTTATTCTAAGGCCATAATACTGCTCAAACTCCAACAAGTGCAGATTATGCCAAGGACCAAGCTGAAGCTCTGCATGACCCTTAAGCCTTAAATATTTTAAGACTTCTTAAGCCACAAGTTTCCTTTCGTATTCAAAAATGAACTGAAGTCAGTCTTATAGGATTTCTCCTTTCACTAATATCAGATACGTTTTTCATTTGTTTTTTCTTTTTAAAAAAGAAAGGATGTCTCAAATATCTCTTCCTTTTGAATTCTGATTCTGCAACTTGCTCACATCCTGTAATGAAACACAGAGGCCTAAAAGAAGGTTGTGCAAAATTATTCAAACTGCTACACCAAAGCCATTCCCTAACGACTGTTACCTATTTCTTTGCTGAACTACAGAAACCATAACCACATCAATAGATTATAACTGCTCTTTCATACTCTTTCAAAGTTCACCAGCTAAAGTTATGATTAAATTATTCAGGAAGGCATTCGAAAAGCAACATGTAAATTCATTTTTAAGTGATTTAGGGTTGAAAACATACCAACCTTTCTGACTTGAAACAACTTCCCGTCACTGCACAGTTCACAGAAACGAGGAAGCAGCATGTGCTCAACTGTTGTTCTGCTCAGCATAGAGGCCATTTTACAGATTATCTAAAAATCAAGAGAGGCATATGTGTAAGGAAAAGTTATAAAGCTTGTAAGCATGGCCAAATATTCCTCCTGAAAATTAGTTTCAAGAGCAAGAGACCATATACCAAATAGACTGAACTGCTACACACTATTAGTCATTTCATACACCTGCTTTATGTGAAGCACAACCAGTTTTATCACACATCATTCTACACCACTGTGCCTGAACATAAAACATTTCTACACATAATTAACCGGACTTTTATTAACAAATGCATTTTCAAGATGTTTCATTCTGTACGGGGAAGACAAAAGTCCCATTGCACTAGCCATCATACGAAATCACAACCTTTAAGCATATTAGAAATATGCCAAGCTTAAGCACGCAGGTAAGCCCCTTGGCTCCAGCAGGACTTCTGAGATACTTAAAAAGAAGCGCAGCCCCAGGAATTCACAGGCTCAGACAGCAGGACAAAATACAAGCTTGCTGTACGACAGAAAAGGAAGAGTAAGGCAAACTAGTTCTGTATGCGAACTGATGCCCACTTGACAGGAATCATGCCCAGCAATTCGAGCAGTTAACATCACAGCTTAAGGAAGGGAAGCTGGTAACTGCTCATTCAGCTTTCCCTGAGGAACTGGCAATTTCTACTACATCACCAACCAAGTTTCTGCTGTGAAATCAGGTGCATTGGATTGTGTGTTTCTTTTCAGCTCCCACTTTCTGGAATAACTTGCTATAATTCTTATATTTGCAACAGTAAAAAGGAAGGGGCTCCCATGCACCTTTCTACTCAACTGTTCTGTCTGCACCATCAGGAGTTTACTGCTTACACAAGTGTTACCAGATCAACAGTACTCATTTTACTATTTTTATTTTTTCAAAGTTACTGAAGCTTCCTACCTCCAAAAAGTAAGCTTTATTTACAGAACACTTGTCTACATAATAGAAGGCTAACTAAGAACCAAGGAAGACACCATTTCAGCCCTTTTCTACGAACTTTCAAACTCCTGAAAGGCATCTGGTGCTCAGATGTCATCCTGGAAAACTGCCTAAGCAATACTCAATTCACAAACAAGGAAGAAAATCTAGCTGGAAAAACTATTTTGAGGTCAAGTGTCAGATATCCAATGCTGAAATGTAATTATACACCAGAACTTTTCTGCAGAGTCAACTTATTTCTTGAAAGTGAACAGGGAATGTTTTTTTTCCAAAATGCTTAAGAATTAAGATCAGGTCATCATTTATACTTTTACAGCATTACTGTGAAACCTGGTAGAGCAAGTGTAAAGAAACTGTTGGAGAACATGATGATCACAAGAATTAAAACAAGGTTGCCAAGAACCAACTGCATTTTAAAGTTATTTTTCTATCATTTTGACAAACGTTTAGCATCCTGAAATATGAAGATGGTCTCTCTAAAAATTACCTTCTGAAAATTTCAGAATAAAAATTAAATTAAAAATTTAAAAATGTTAACGAATAAACAGGAAAGGTTTGATTGTTTATTTTATGTCTGTTCATGTCCAGCACCATTCCTGGATCTCATCTTAATTACTGTCATAAATGAAAAGGAATGGTAGTTTCTGCTAGCAGTCCATTCAAGTACTCAATAAATTATCAATCACCTATAGGAAAAAGCTCCTCATGTCTTTGGGAAACACTTTTACTGAGCTTGAAGATCTGATAGTTTATATCTTTAAGCTTACAATAAAATTCTTGTTCCCAATTATTGTACTGTATAGGTCAATTCTCGAGAAGCACTATTTCAAAAAGACCCCTCAAGCACTCACTCCACCGATGCAGAAGTCCAGTTTTCTTCACCGCACGGACACAGGACCTAGCGAAAGCTTCCCCAAAGTACCCCCACACATCACCAAAGGCACCCACAGTATTCAGCGGAACAGTACTGAGGAGAACCTTGCTTTCTTCTTCAATTCCTTTAAGATAATTTTTAATCTCTCCGTATGGTGCATCAAGTCCCAACTCTGTTCACGTTATTTGAGAATTCATTGTTTCGCTGGTGCTCAAAACTACAAATGACTAAGAAACCTACTAACTGAAAGCTTAACAGCTTAGCACAAGTAGGCTTCAACTGCATCACAACAGTAGGTTCTCAATTTGCAGAGCGACACAGCGACTAACAAATAAGGAACAGAACAATCTGCAATAGCAATGGTATAGAACATTTAAGTTCAACGGTTAATGTAAAGCTCTCTGAACACTAAGAATGTAAGTACCATCCTTACTTTCTCCGTCTTATGCTCATGAAAATATCATACGAAGTTGTTATACTCTGAAAGAGCTTTACAGTAGCCCTGAGAAAAGAAAGAGAACAAAAGTAACTAAAGATACAAGACGACTTCTTCCAAATTCACTTACATTCACAGCTTCCACCTTGTACTCATCATCACTGTCGGGAGCAGAGAGGTCCAACAGAACTGGACACACCTTATTTTCAATGTCACTCTGAGCAATAAGATCTTGTTCCAGCAGTATAAGCAGGGCTTCTTGACCTGCCTTTCGAACCTATTCACAGGAACAAACAAACAAACACCAAGTCACTAAACCGTACGGACTGATACAAGAACCACTAAAGGAAATTTCATGGGTACAAGTTAAAACCAAAAAAACCTTTCATTTTTAATATTACAAGGAATTAGTAACAGATACTGAAGTTTAATATAGATGACATTTCATCAAATTCTGAAGAGAAGCTGAAAGATGAAGTAGAAGACAGGACTTGTACGTCATGACTCCTGTAACAGACTGTGTCAATAAGCTGCCAGGCAAATCCTGTAAGTTTCCCACTATCTCCTAAGGAAAGTATTTTAAAAAAAAAAAAGAAGTATCTCCCTGGAAAAGTGTGCTGAAACCAATAAACAGAAAGTACTACATAAAAGCTACCTATCACTCAACGTGGAATTTCCTATTACCTCTTTCTCATGCCTTAAATTCACTGGACCACACAGTATTTTCCAATGATTAAACTCACGTTGTCTGTTTTTCCCACCTGATTGTTAACGTCTGTGAGGTACCTCACTACTATGGGCATAAGGTATTCAAAAAATGCTGCTGGGAATTTTGGTCGACTTTCTTGCAGAAAAATGGCAATAGGAGGTATTTGTTCCATCAGCTCCGTACGTACAGTTGGTTCTGATAAATAAAAATCAAAACTATATCAATAAAGATGAAATTAAGACTAAAGACATTAAGAAAAAAGTAGCATTACTTTTTTTAACATTTTCACAACAGAGGAAAACGAAAATACTCAAAACGAAGTATCACCACTGCACTTCCCTGTTCTTAAAGGAAACCTGAATAAAATAGAACGCCTTACACACATCACAGTCCAGACATTTGGAAGCAGTTTCCAAATAAATCAGATAAAAAGAGAGCACCAGCTAGAGAATCCAATCACTGTGAACGTATGCATATGAAGTATTAAAACGAACATTCATTCTGTGCCACATTATACCACACCTTCCGATGTAAAAAAATCCTTGAAAAATATTACTTTGCACTCTGTACTAAGTAAGAGCCTTTCATTTATACATCTACCACACAAAAGACTTCACAGAGTGGTAAATAAATCTCAGTTTCACTGACAGATATTATTTAGTTTCTTTAGTTCACTCTCTGCCTTTTCAAGCCCAAAAGTTATTGCCTTCTATATTGCAGATTATGCAAAACAACTTACATAAAACCAACAAACAAAAAACACTTTCAAACCTGCATCTTCAGAGAGCCTGACCACTATTTCCATTAGAGTCAAGAAGTCTTCTTCATTATTACTGAAATCTCGAAAGACATCCAGCAGACCTCTAGCAATAATTTGCCTGTGGAGGGAACAACATATTGACTGTCTTGACATCCTGCCGATGGGATGGGGAACTTATCCCCTTAAAGGTCAAGCTCTTCTCTGAACACTCACACACACCAGTTACATAGTTTTTCACTGTCACAACAAAACAAAGAGTAGAGAGATTTTACTCAGATAACCAAGACCAAAAAGCTCCTTTTCAGGGAAATGTCACACAAAAGTTACGCGAGCAAACACAATACTAGGCATGTGCTTAAGAGAACTGGAAGTAGTGACACCCTGACAGCCACAATGCTAACAGACTCGGTTATAATCAAGTGTAGCTGCCGCACCCTTACCTGTTAAATATGTTATCACTGAAGGCATATTTTTCTAGGCGAGCCAGTGGAGTTAAATTATCCTGTCCAGGAATATCCAAGAAAGCCGTTATCCTCATGCTATCACAGTCTGGCCCATAATCTTCAAACCCAACTTGAGAGGCAAGAGTAACAACAAAAGAAAAAAAAGTAAATCTAAGAGTCAGCAAAAGATACTAGTTTAAAATACGCTATACTGATAACACTTTCTTTTTAGAGCTATTATTCAAAGGAGAAGTATTTATAGATAACAGCTGGAAATAACTTACCAAAAAAACCCAAAACAACACACCACCAAACTTTAAGTTCTACCTAATGAAGTCAGGAAGAACACTTGCATATAGACATGTAGCTTCAAAAATTGAAATTTAGTTCATTTTAACCGTCATAAAATCCTTGGCTTTTACTACACAATTTCAGTGGACTAATCACATGTACTACATGTTAAGAGGGCTGAGCTGACAAAATTGCCACGAGCTGACCAACACGTTCAGAAGAAAATCAGTCCCGTTAAAAGAAACTGAAATTTTAACAACGAAAGAAAATCCCAAACCTCATTGCTTTAAATCACCGGATTCTCAGGTCTGTTTCAGTGTTATCAAGGTATATTTTTCCTCACTGTAGTTACTGGGTCCCACTCATGTAAATCAGACTCGTAGCTTTGGGAAAGCTTCAACTCTACCTGACTCGTGACCATACTGGGAGCCTTCTACTACAGACGTACCAGCCATGGACTTTCCTGTGCAAACCTACTCTTTTCTAAATCTTTTTTTGTATTTGCAGCTTCAGACTTTTAACCAAACATTACCATACCAACTACTAAAATTTGCCTCACAAGTCTTACAGCCACCTAGTCCAGTACCAAGCACTTGACTACAGAACACAGGCAAAACGACTGAAGAGGAGAGGGAATAGGATAACTGCTGCCAAATTCCTTTTTTAATCTTTCACCCTTTAAACAAAGCGAAATAACAAGCCTGCAACACAAATCTTTCACACAAGTTCTCTCAGTTCAGCAATGGATACAGGAGCGCAAACACCAACCACATCTACACGAAGTGGCGATACTCCTATTCTGAGCTTACAACTTTCTAACCAAGCACTCCTGGAATTACGCACATTTCACTTAAATACCGGTGCAACTGTGATCCTACTGAAGTGCAAACTGTGCCAACATGGCTTTCCACATGCAAGAAGTCTCTCAAACCAGCGTATGTTCTGAGAGGGACAACCACTGAAGACAAGAAGCCAGTTTCTGACTTGGGAGGACACAGTATTAGGTATTTAAATCAGTAAAGAAATCAGACAACTCAACAACTTAAAAACATAACGACCTGCCAAATAGGCTGCATTTGAAACTGTGCCTACAAAACTACAATCCAGGCACGTAAATTATGCCATCTGCAGGCTGTGGAACTTGCAGGATGCCTCCACATTAAAAAAACAAAACAAAACAAAACAGTAGAGCTTTGGCTAAATAACTAAAAGCAAGCCAGGAGTAATTTAATTTACAGCATCAGTTACCCCTGTTTGTAAAATGGAAAGAACAGGAAGACCCTCTGTCACTGATACACTTTGAAGATCAAGAAATGTGTGAAGCACTAAATCTCCATCTTCAGCATTCTGGTTTAATAATAATAAAAAATTGCAGTCCTTCCCAGTATGTCACCCCAATCAGTACAAAGCTTTTGCACATCTTAAAGGAAAGCCGGCACTAGTTCACAATGCCCTCTGAAACTGCCAGTGGGTTAAATTACACATATAAGTAATTTCATGAGCTCTGGTTTAACAATTTCTTCTGGATTGAACTGGCTGTGTCTTAATCATGATAATTAAGCTTCAGTTCTATACTGACTCTTTACCAGCTTTATATTACAAATACTCTTCCCTACAGAATTCCTTAATCTGAGACCTGGAATAACGAACTTTGGCTCTGAACTATGTTAATACTCACTATATATCACTTTTTATATTAAAAAAATAATCTTTTATCACCAAGAGGTACCAAATCTCAGCTTTTTTCCTACAGAAAAATTCCTATTTCACATATGAAATTCTGCTTTCCAATTCTTTAACGTGAGTCAAAGGAATCTCAGAAATACAGCTCACTTAAAGAGGAAATCATCAACATACTTGGAGCTAAATGTTGTATCTGGATCTTCAAAGAAAAAAAGTAAAAAGCAGGTTGGTTTAAGAAAGTACAGTCTCCAAGGAGCCTAGTTAATTAAAAGACTAGAGCAATTCTGAATTCTGCTGTTCTTGCAGACTACAACCGTGTTCAACTGGATTCAAACAGGAGAAAACTGTGGGACTGGAGTAAACACTTCAAATATATACACAGATACTACACGTGAACCCACAGCTACATGAGCAGAAACAGACACTTTTTTTAACAACTACGTATTGTACTGACACCCTTATTTCCACCCAACTGGTCATCACCACTTCCAGTGGCTGCTCTTTACATATTTTTAAGTTGTCGGGCTCAAAATATTCATCTGCCCAAGTGTATGTAATGCACATGGCACAGATCTGACTGGCATCGAGCTGTCCACACGGCAGCTTTCCCACCAAACGCTCGATCTGAAGAGGGAACATCCAGTATCTGCTGCTTCAGAAAGACACCCTGTGTATCACCGAAAGCTCACTGCAAGTTACACAGCGTTTGTGCGATTGTAGCTTTCTTTTCTGAGGTTGCAATAAATTCTCCAAACCCAAATCCACTCTGACCATCCTTATATCTATGCAATTATAACATAAATATATCTTTAATCAATACAGATCAGACACTCACTAGCTAATTTTTGAGGCTAGCCACTTGCTATACAGGATTTATTAGAATTTTATAATAAAAATCAACGTACTTGCCATTAACTTTATCTAGTGCCCACGTGAATTACAGAACTGTTTAAAAATGAAGGGTCTTATCAGTTCACTTCAAATATTTCAGAATTCTTACCAATTCAAATGACAATGAAGTAAAACTCAATTTTAAATTAGACTACCATACTACACCTGGGACTAATTTTGTAAACCTGATGAACGTGCTTAATTTTACTATATGGAGTAGTTCTATTATGCAGTTCAAGTAGCTAAGCACACATCAGTGCTTCCAGGACCAGAGGGAAAACAGAGTTAAATACCTGAAATTTTTTCCGCACACTCTCAGTACACATAACTAAGGAACAGTCATGGCAGAATCCATTTTATCTTCTCTCCAGAACTTTAATTTTCTTTTTGCATAAAATAAGCTGCCATTGGTACTTACAAGTTTCATAATACACCAGAGTACTAGTAAGGAAATTACACAAAACTCATGAACTAGTATTTCCTACCTAATGGTTTTTTTCACAGATAAACTAGGAGTAATTCAAAAAGACCCAACCAATTCAAGCAGCTAAGCATTCGTTAGCAACATCAAGAGCTTCATTTGGGTTGTTGTTTTGTTAAAGTCAGGGCAAAGAGAAAATATTTTCAACTCCTAAATAAGGTACTACAGGCAAGACCTGTTACAGCTCTCCTGCTAGAGGTAACTCGTCACCAAACAGTCTGTAGATCAGCATAAGCACGTTGAAATGTGTCGGCTAATGTCCTCACTTAAATCCTGTTCAACACATAAATGCTTTTTGTCATCTAAGGTGATGATTTCTTACAAACTTCTTATACTTACTTACTGCAACGAACCATAACCTTTAGTACCTCTTTTTAAGCAACCTCTTACAAAGTTATGAAAATTTTAAGTCCCTATATATTAAGCACACATATTTCAAGCACTGTTTTCCACACTACTTTCTTTTTTTTAGGTTTCTAGCCTTTCAAAGAGATAACTGGATTAAGGAAAAAGGATGCTTTTTAATTAATTTTAAACTCATTAAGGCTCACAGAGTTACAATGTATCTGTGCAAGAAAAATGTTAAAAATATTTTCAAATACCCAAAAATACAAACATGAAATTAACCAAGAACTCTTACATACAGAATTAATCTCATGATTTATGCATCACTTACTTCACAAGAAGATGCCAAACTTTTCTTCCTAAGCTTAACCACAACACAAACATCTTTTTGTCTGCTACCTACTAGTGAAACACAAAAACCTCGAAGACTGGGAGCAACACCACTTTTGTCTGCTACCTACTAGTGAAACACAAAAAACCTCAAAGACTGGGAGCAACACCACGTGGGAGGAACAACTAACAAAATGCCACAGAACGACCTCCTGCCCGCAGAGGAAACGTCCCAGCAGATCCTTCCAGTGAAATACTTTAGATCTTCTTTGTATTCTAACATTTGCCCTGGTGTTCCCGAACACCACTTTTTTCCTAAATCAGTTTATTCATCCTAGATGTGGGGGAGAGGGGGGAGCATCCACCTGTTACACTTTTTCAAGTACCATCGACCAACAACGGTCTTGTGGTCAACAGTGTCACATTAAAAGAAACCCCAACCAAATTCAAGTATCTTTTCTCTTTTTTTCGCTGAGCAGCCAAGTCAGTATTTGAATGCCAGTGAAACCAGCCCACACTTAGAGCTGCTTTCCAAAGCGATACAGCTTCGAGCAACTGCCTGGCCAAGACTCCTCTCCTTAAGGCTCAGCTCTCGCCAAGCTGTCGGCTCTGCTCCCCAGCACAGCTCCGGGCTACACGGCTTGAGGCGGAGCTGCTGCCCGGCCTGGGACCCG